TGTTCCTCCTTGTGGATGCTGAAGAGACGAGCTGGTCTTTCGTCCTAGATGGGATGCAGTACCACATGCTGTCGTGGGAAGACCGCCGAGACCTGGCCGAGATGAGCAGACCTCGCTGTGTGAAAAGGAAGCCCCGTATTGCTGTGCTGAAAAGCTCCGTGCCCTCGTTGATCCACTTCTTCAACCCAAAGGTAAACCTTTAAAGTTCTTCACACCCTCGTCCACATTGGGACTTTAAACCGGATGGGCGTTTCATCGTCTCCCTTCATGCAGGATTCCAGCTGTACTCGCAGTACTTCCTCTTTTGGGAGTCGACAAAATGCTGCAGTGGTCTACTGTGATGGTGTGGTCTACATCCTGGGAGGCTCCAGTCTCTCAGGTCCCATGAAGTCCATCAACTGTTACAGCATCCAACAAGACTACCGGTTCTTTAAGTCGGGGCTGCCCACACCCTGCGACAGCCTAGCAGCCTGCGTTGCCCACGGCAACATCTACGTATCGGGAGGAGTAACGAAGGAAGGTGAGGAAGCTTTGTGCCGGATATTCAAGGCGACGTGTTTAATGCTGGAGACAGAAGGATGGATTATTGTCATTTAGACAAACCATGCATAAGTTTCATGTTCTGCCAAAGCTTTGGTGCATGTTTGCTGATGACTTGGATGCTGACCTGTCTCTAAAGACCTGTGGAGTTAACATCAGAACCTGACAGAGGCTAACATTTGACTAAACCGCTGGTTGATTGCAAACAAAGCCCAAAGTGGGCCATAGTGCCCTCGGCTGCTGCTCATTACGGGACTTTCCAGGATGAATGCTAACCGGTTTCCTAGAGGCTTCAGATTGACCCAACATTTGTTTGAGTGGTTCAGGTGACGGTTGTCTTGGTAAACAAGACTTCTAACGTTCTTGCTTCACGTGCAGACGGCAGGATTCTGCACCATCTTCTCTGCTTCAACACAAAGACGAGTTCCTGGCAAACGCAACCCAACATGTTAACGGCTCGCTGCTGTCACGGATCAGTGGAGCTCAACGGCCTCGTCTACGTTTGTGGAGGACTCAGCTGCAACAGGCTCTCTCAGTTCATCACCAACAGCTGCGAGGTGTACAACCCCTCCACCCAACAGTGAGTCAGGATCTCATTCCTGAGGTGAAAATGGCCAATCCTAGGCCACTCGAACGGTGACATCACAGCCGTGTTGAACCTGGAGTAGTGTTGCCGTTGACGTGCAGGATGGCAAAAGTGATTCTACAGATCAATACCAGATCAATACCTATCTCCATTAACTCTGTTTTCAGCTAAAGTCTAGCTAGCATTAGTCTTGCTACTGCACATCATCGGGGGGGCATCGGCAGTAGAAACCGGTTGTGTTTTTCAGATGGAGGGAGTTGTGCCCCATGACCCAACCCAGGAAGGACCATGGCCTGGTGGTGGTGAACAACCTGATCTATGCCATCGGAGGGGAGGGTCGGCAAGGTAATGAGCAGCTCTGGTGAGCGGTTGTAGCTCTCTGATGAATTTGTTTACGTTCCACAGGCTTCCTAAGATCCGTGGAATGCTACGACATCAGCTCGAACCAGTGGCGCAGCGCTCCACCGCTGCCCTACCCCATGATGGTGAGGTGTGCAGCTGTTGGGAATGAAATCTTCGTGTTGGCGGGCAAAAGTCAAAGGGCGGAGCTCCAAAGTGTTCTGGAGTTCCACACATACGACAACAAGTTGGTGTCCATGTAGAACAGACTTGTGTGGTTGCATAGAAGTGGTGTAACTGGCTTAGTCACATGTTTAAGCCGTAGATTTGTTTTCTTCTTGCCTTCTCCAGGTGGACCTCTTCTTACAGCATGAAGCAGTTTCCATTCAAAGACACTCTCATCTGTGTGGTGGACTAGTGTTTTAATCCAAGGCTGTTTTAATGGTTTTATTGTCCTTTTTAAATGTGTTTTGATAAATAAAAGCTGTTATGTTTGTCTATCAATCCTGTCTGTTTCCACTTGTGTTTACTATCACTGGCCAGGTTCACCAGTACTTCAGGTACATTTATACCTCCACCTTGGATTCTGGTTCGCCGTCCCAGGATGTAAACTTGCAGTTAGCATGGCCTGCTCAGCTGCTCTAGACTCTGTTGTCCCTCTAAAATCAGAAGTAGAACATTTCTGACCCCATGGTGTAGAAGAAAATAGACGAGCTGCATAGGTGCATCACTAGATCAGAAAGCGGTTAGAGCTGCTAGAAACGAGTATATTGTAAATCTAATCTCCGTGCATCTCGGTGACCAGCACAAGCTCCAACACCATTAATCCTCTGCTCCCTCCACTTTGACTAGTGCCCTATGCACCACACTCGGGAACTGCCTTCTGTAGAAAATCCAGGTTATTCGTTACAGCTTTGAGACCCCGGGACCTGCTACCCACGTCAGTACATCATGTCCTCCAGTTTGCTGCTTTGACTCTGCTTCACTTACAGATTTGGATAAACTGGGTCCTTGAAGCACTCAGGCTCTCCAGAAGACTCCCTTCCTCCAATACGGTTATGTGGGGTCCTCTAGTGGGCCCTGTCCTTCTGAACATTATCAATAACGTCTGCAGCCTTTAAAAGGCGCTTGTTCAACCACTGTGGGAGTAAAAACCAGGGCTAGGTCAAAATGACCTAAAGTTTCTGTCCAGTCTAAAATATTTAGAGAAAATGGTTAATGCTCAACTTTCATCTCCTCTGGAGAACTGCTTACTTCGATCCCGGCTCCGGACAGAAAATTCTGCTGTTGTGTCCTTGGCCAAGACGCTTTACCCACCTTGCCTGCTGGTGGTGGTCAGAGGGACCGGTGGCGCCTGAGCTCGGCAGCCTCGCCTCTGTCAGTGCGCCCCAGGGCAGCTGTGGCTACATCGTAGCTCACCCCCACCAGTGTGTGTGTGATGGAAATTTTCTATTTACTTTAGTCCTATTAACAAATCTAACTGAATGTCCTGAAACCACACGCACACACATTTCTTAGTAAATATTCTATTTGGTGAGAGATAAACTTTATTGTATTTATCCTAGTGGATCTATAAACGGATAAACTAGTAGTAGCACATCCAACGTCAAAGACAGTAAAAAGTTATTATCAGGAGAGGGAGAATGTTTAAGTGGTTAGCAGCAGTGTGCTAGACGATGGCCCCCTCCATGAGGCCACCACAGCTCAGCAGAACATCGTTGTAGCTTCTTCTGGGGAGAAAAACACTTAGAGAGAAAATAAAATTAACAGCAGAAATAGCAGGAAATAATACAGTTAAAGAGCAGATTGTAGAAGAAAGCAGTAGAATGTGGAAAGTGGTCAGTGTGTCCTCCAGCAGTCTAAGCCTATAGCAGCATAACTACAGAGATAACTCTGGATAATCTATCCTATTTAGATGGAGGCAGGGCAAGGGAGAGCCGTCTTTACCGACTGTACACTCCACCTCCCTCTACTCCCCCACTTGTCCAAATTTAGGCTAATATCAGATTTTAACCATAGGCCCTATCAAATAAAAATGTTTTAAGCCTATTCTTAAAAGTAGACAAAGTGTCTGCCTCACGGACTAAAGCTGGGAGCTGGTTCCACAGGAGAGGAGCCTGATAACTAAAAGATCTGCCTCCCATCCTAATTTTAGATATTCTGGGAACCACCAGTAAACCTGCAGTCTGAGAGCGAAGTGCTCGGTTAGGAACGTATGGAACAATCAGATCACTGATGTATGATGGACCTTGATTATTAAGAGCTTTATATGTGAGAAGAAGGATCTTAAAATCTATTCTGAATTTAACAGGTAGCCAATGTAGGGAAGCTAAGACAGGAGAGATATGATCTCTCTTTTTAATTCTCATCAGAACTCTAGCTGCAGCATTTTGGACAAGCTGAAGACTTTTAACTACATTCTGTGGACTTCCTGAGAGTAATGAAGTACAGTAATCCAGTCTTGATGTAATAAATGCATGAACTAGTTTTTTAGCATCACTCCTGGAAAGTATGCTTCTAATCTTAGCAATATTCCGAAGGTGGAAAAAGGAAATCCGACAAACCCGTTTAACCTGGGATTTGAATGACATGTCCTGGTCAAAGATAAAACCAAGGTTCCTTACTTTGTTCTCGGAGATTAATGTAATGCCATTCAGGTCAGGCGATTGGCTAAGCAATTTCCTTTTCTGGATTTCTGGTCCAAAGATGAGAACTTCCGTCTTGTCTTGATTTAAAAGCAAAAAGTTTAGAGTCATCCAATTTTTTATGTCCTCAAGACAAGCCTGTAATCTACCCAACCGATTAGGTTCATCAGGGTTAATGGATAAATATAACTGAGTATCGTCAGCATAACAGTGGGAGTTTATCCCATGCTGTCTAATGATTTTACCAATTGGGAGCATATACATAGTAAATGAATTGGTCCAAGCACTGAACCTTGTGGTACTCCACAAGTAACCCTGGAGTATGAAGACGATTTGTCATGTACATTTACAAAATGAAATCTGTCAGACAGGTAGGATTTAAACCAGCCTAACGCTGTTCCTTTGATCCCTACAACATGTTCAAGTCTTTCTAAAAGAACATTGTGATCAACTGTGTCAAAGGCAGCACTGAGATCTAACAAGACTAGAACAGACACAAGATTCTTATCTGAGGCCATGAGAATATCATTTGTAACTCTCACTAATGCAGTTTCAGTGCTGTGATTCTCTCTAAAACCAGACTGAAATTCCTCAAACAGAGCATTAGTGTTTAAATGCTCACATACTTGGATGGCCACTATTTTCTCCAGGACTTTGGATAAAAATGGAAGGTAGATATTGGTCTATAATTCATTGGGTCATCTGGATCCAGAGAAGGCTTCTTAAGTGAAGGTTTGATTACAGCAACCTTAAAATCCTGTGGTACATATCCATTTACTAAGGATAGATTGATTGTATCTAGAATGGGGGCAGTAACCAAAGGAAATGCTTCTTTAAATAATTTGGTTGGGATTGGATCCAAAATGCAAGTGGAAGGTTTAGAAGAAGCTAATATTTTTGATAACTCTGAAAGCTCAACTGGATCAAAACGGTTCAAGCAAAGATGAGGTTCTAGAGTCACCTCTGATGCTGCCTCACTTACTGAGGAAGAAGAAATCGCATTAGGGAGGATGCTAAAGATTTTGTTTCTAATAGAATTAATTTTACTTGTAAAAAATCCCATGAAGTCATTGCTGCTGAGGGCTAAGGGAATAGATGGCTCAGAGCTATGATTCTGTGTAAGTTTAGCAACTGTACTGAAAAGAAATTTAGGATTATGCTTATTCTCCTCAATTAGTGCTGAGAAATAAGCAGTTCTAGTTTGTTGAAGCTTATTTTTCCAGGATAGGTAGGCCTCCTCCTGGTGCGTAGAGCGCCATGTTCTCTCCAATTTCCTAGAGTTTTGTTTTAAGGCTCGTAAATGAGAGTTAAACCAGGGAGCCAACTTCCTGTCCCTAATTACCTTCTATTTTAAAGGGGCAACATCATCTAATGCCACACGTAAAGAGGAATTAACATGATGAACTAAGGCATCAATTTGTGAGGGGCTAGAACTGAAAATATTTCCCTCTGCTACGTGCCTCTGAGATGCTGAGGACAGTAAAGATGGAACAGTTGATTTAAAAGATGCAACTGCGTTGTCAGATAGAGACCGACTATAATGAAATTTACTTTCATGTCTCGAGAACTCAGTTATAAAAAACTCAAAGGTTATCAGAAAGTGGTCCGAGAGGACTGGATTATGTGGAAAGATCCTTATTTCCTCACACTCTATGCCATAAGTCAGCACAAGGTCTAATGTATGATGGCAGGAGTGGGTGGAGCTATGTATTCTTTGAGTGAAACCAATTGAGTCTAAGATATTACTAAAGGCTACATTGAGGCTATCATTTTCAATGTCCACATGAATGTTGAAATCCCCCACTACAATGACCTTATCAGTATTTAGCACCAAACCAGATAAAAAATCAGAGATCTGATCCAGAAACTCAGAGTAAGGGCCTGGTGGACGATATAAAACTACAAACAAGAGTGGTTTCACAGTTTTGCTATCTGGATTAGGAAAACTAAGAATAAGATGTTCAAAATGTGGCAGGGTGGAGAAACATGGGCCCGGGCAGGATTCGATCCCCAGACTCCCGGGTGAGTCATGCACGCTAACCAGTCAGCCAAAGGGACATCCTCTTGCCAGGACGCATGAACAATCAGGACACGGTGACAGGATGCTCACACTGCCTCATCTTCCCCCCTCTTTCCACAAGCACATCCTCGTGCTCCCGCGCAGGTTGCCACAAACTTCACAACTTCCCTTTGGCTGACTTGTTAGCACGCACGACTCTCACCCGGGAGTCTGGGGATCGAATCCCGCCCGGGCCCATGTTTCTCCACCTTGCCACAAAAAAAAAAACTGTAACTATTAATCTATAAGGGACTGATTAATAAGTCCGAATGAAAAATGGTTGCTACTCCTCCTCCTCGCCCTGTACTTCGAGCAATATGATGATTTAAATAATTTGAAGGAGTCGACTCGTTTAAGCTAACATAGTCCTCTTGCTGCAGCCAGGATTCTGTGAGAGAGAGCAAAGAGATCTGATGATCACAAATCAAGTCATTAACTAACAAAGTCTTAGAAAAAATGGATCTAATGTTCAACAACCCACATTTAATGTTTGTAGTTTTCTGCTCAGTTGAATTTGTTCTAATATTTATGAGATTTCCATGGTTTGCTTTATTAAGCCTGATATTTAATCTGAGTGGTTTTGGCCGTGGGCAGGACACTGTCTCTATGGGGTAGTGGGTGGGTAACAGTACAGAAGCTGCAGAGGGGTGGGTTAAACTACGACTCTGCTTCCTGGTCTGGACCACAAATTCCATGAAGACTGACCTGTACTCCAGGTCATTCCCCTCAGGCACACAGCCGACAATGGCAGAGTCATCTGAGAACTTCTGGAGGTGACAGCTGCTGGTGTTGTAGGTGAAGCCCGAGGTGTAGGTGAAGAGAAAGGTGAGAGCACCGTACCCTGTGGAGCTCCAGTACAGCACAACCACCTCAGATGTACAGTTGTGCAGCCTCACGTACTGTGGCCTGTTGGTGAGGTAGTTGATGGTCCATGCACCCTCATCTTCTGCTGCAGTAGACACAGCTGGATGGTGGTGAAGGCACTTGAGAAGTTGAAGAACATGGTTCTCACAGCGCTCTTTTGCATCTTGAGGTGAGTCAGAGCTCAGTGCTGCAGGTAGATGAGCGCATCCTCAACCCCGTGTTTGGTTTATATGCAAATTGCAGTGGGTCTATTTCTGGGGTCACCACTGAACGTAGATGGGTGAGTCTCTCCATGGTCTTCATCAGATGGGAGGTCAAGGTGACAGGTTTGTAGAGGTCTGGTTCCCTGGGATGTGATGTTTTGGGACCTGGAACCACACAGGAGGTCTTTGGATGGGGACCTGCTCCAGCTGGAGGCTCAGGTTGAACATGTGCGTGACCGCTTCCCAAAGCTGGTCTTTGAGCAGTCTGGGGCTGATCCCGTAAGGACCTGCTGCTTTTCTGCTCCGTTCTCTACTCAGCTGGTCCGAAGGAACTGGGGGAGTGGTGCTGAGGTGACATCATCCATCCAGCAGCTAAATGGGGCGTTTTGGTTTGTGAACAGGAACACGCCTTCTTATTTGGTTCCTGAACTGTTACTTTCACATCCGCTCTCATCGACATTTCAAAATAAGATGGTGATCATTTTGATTATTAAATAAAACCTTCATGGTAATATAGGATCGTTTCAAAGATGTATATTTTTGTATTTTTTTATTAGAAATGTTTTAACAACTTTGAACAGATTAACGTGGTTTCAACACCCGTTGCTGTCGGTGGAAGTCTCTAGCCTGACCAGCAGCGCGTTGGGCCCCATTCTTCAAGTCTTTAGTATGACCCGGCCGGGAATCGAACCCCCACCTCCCAGTCCCAGGGCGGGCCACTGAGAAGATTTAGCAACACAAACAGAATGCCAGCGGATCATGTGACATCATTCCCGTTGGGATTTGTAACTAATTAAAATGCTGTTTTCAATTTTCAACACAAAAACATCTTTTCCAAATGAAAATGACATGAAAGTTTATTAAACTCGCTCATCGTTCACGGTGACGGTGACACGTTTCAGCTTTCCAGGTGAACGTTAAACGGTCCGCAATACTGAGTGGGTCCGCGGTGTCTGGTCCTTTTTCTCCGGACCAGAAGGTCCAGTCGGGCCCACACATGGACTAAAACATGGCCGCAGCCCCAGGATGAGCCAGTAAACGTCACAGCAGGAGGCTTCATGTCGGATTTCTCTGGAAGTGGGTTTTAGCCGACGGTGCCCCTTTGATCTCTACGTGCCTCCTTGGCTCCATCTTCCATCAAGAGAGGGTCAGCTCAGAGTTCTTCTCTCCCGCCGACTTTCCCAGGATTGTCCATGCCAAAGAACGAGGACGGCAGTCCACGGATGTCCCTTTCTCTCTTAACGAAGGCGGAGAAGGATGAGACGCAGTTCCCAATGAAGTGGTCGGCCTGTCCTAAGATGTAGAGGTCCGTTTGGGCCCAGTCTGGCTGCAGGGTCACAACCTTTACCTGCATAAAGGAAAACCCGGTCTGAAGTCACCCCTGAGAGGACCAGATGAGACCAACACAAAGTTCTGCTACCTTAACCCGAGTCACTGGGACCCACCTTGCCCTGAAACAGCTTCTCCACATCGCTGCTGTGGGACTCCGAGTCAGTGGCGATGTAGACGGAGCGTGCCGAGGTCTTCCTCACCCACAACCTCACGGCTCTGAGGATCTCAGCCAGGTCAGGGAGGCACATGGTGGAGGTGAGGGGGCGGGCGGTCTGGCGGTCGTAGCCGACACACTGAGGGGAGGCCATGAAGTGAGGTCCCGTCTCTCCGCTCTCCAGCAGCCTGCAGGCGTTTTGCTGTGAAGATTCAGAAGGAAAGGAGGTCATTTCTGTCCTTGTGCCTCCGGGAAAGTCGTCATCTCACCCAGTCGGAGCCGATCCGCAGGTGGATCCCGAC